CCCCCCCCCCCCCCCCCAGATAAAATAGGTTCCCGTGGCTATGGAATCAATCAATCACAGAGAGCGTTTACTCACTTCTGACAGTGCATTTACATAAACGGAGTTGTGTTTCCCAAAAGTAGCCTATCATGAGAAAGCATTGATGATTTTGTAGCCTATTCTGTGCAGTACATTTATAAAAAAAAAGTGTTTTTGGCAGTAAGAAAATAAAGCCTGTTTTAGGTTTATTGAGATTTTTCTGCATTCTTTTTAATGACATGTCAACATTTTTTTTTTAATGACAGTAATGAGAGTTTTGGGTGTAAATGTGCTTAATTGTAATTAAAAAACACAATGCAAATCATTGCTTAACTTAAATGAATATATGGTTCTCACATATAAACATCGTCCTATCCTGGAAAACATTGTCATAAGAAACTACTAGAAAGGGAGGGTCAGGCAAAAAAACAGGAAAATGTATTGGTCAGAAAGTGTTTAAACCTGAAAATAACTTGTTTAACTAGTTAATATTTAGCTTAATAACTAGTTTTTATTTCTTTTGATTTTGATGTGAAATGTGACATTGGCATGTTTTCAAGAGGTTTATTCTGTCTAAATTCTATTCAGAATTCATCAGATTCTCCTGCGGTTGAAGCTTTAGCTCTGCTGAGCTGTTGTTTAGGCCTGTTGTTAGTGACTCTAGAAGCTGACGGTCAGAAACACATTGACTGATTCACAATGAGGTGAGAAGTGAACGCAGCCCTGCTTGAACACAGTCAGAAGTGAGTGAACGCTCGGATTGGTTCTGCCTTGCAACATTTGCGTATGTCCAGATGAGCAGGAAAATAGTTCTATCCTACACAATTATTCGCTAACAAAGGTTATTTGTCCAATTTAATGAATATTGTACGCATTTTTTTTTTGTTAAACAAAATCACTAGGTTTGGGCATCGTTTGAATTTTATCGATTCCGATTCTTATCGATTCCTAGTTTCGATTCCAATAAGATAAAAAATCCAATATAGCCTATACAAAAAAATGAAATCAAACATTTAGATGTCAAACATGTATTCTGTGTCTTTTTACAAAGCATTCTGTTGCAGCTGAATAACGAGCAAAAATCTGCAGCCTACAGAACACTTAGGCCTACAAGAGGAACCAAGAGGTTTATTCTGTCTAAATTCTATTCAGAATTCATCAGATTCTCCTGCGGTTGAAGCTTTAGCTCTGCTGAGCTGTTGTTTAGGCCTGTTGTTAGTGACTCTAGAAGCTGACGGTCAGAAACACATTGACTGATTCACAATGAGGTGAGAAGTGAACGCAGCCCTGCTTGAACACAGTCAGAAGTGAGTGAACGCTCGGATTGGTTCTGCCTTGCAACATTTGCGTATGTCCAGATGAGCAGGAAAATAGTTCTATCCTACACAATTATTCGCTAACAAAGGTTATTTGTCCAATTTAATGAATATTGTACGCATTTTTTTTTTGTTAAACAAAATCACTAGGTTTGGGCATCGTTTGAATTTTATCGATTCCGATTCTTATCGATTCCTAGTTTCGATTCCAATAAGATAAAAAATCCAATATAGCCTATACAAAAAAATGAAATCAAACATTTAGATGTCAAACATGTATTCTGTGTCTTTTTACAAAGCATTCTGTTGCAGCTGAATAACGAGCAAAAATCTGCAGCCTACAGAACACTTAGGCCTACAAGAGGAACTTTTGCCTATGCTTTTAACAAAAATACCACAGCAAAAACAACTACACTAATATAAATTTCAAATTTTAAAGTGTTAAAGACAAGTCAAGAGTCAGTAATAAAATGGGAACAAACAAATCAATTAGCAATAGCATAAATAAATACAACTGAACCACATTTCCGGTACAGAAACTGTAATTAAAAGTTTTAAAACACTGCATAGGTTTCTTTTCATAATTAAAATATAGATTAATTAAAGTTATTAAACATATTCAGTCAATATCAGTGAATGGTTTTCTTTTGTTATTTGATTAACATTTTAGGCAGCGCATTTATTAGGCTGCTGTCTCTTTAACCATTCACGTCCTCGTCCTTTTTATGAGCCATTTTCCAAAGCGTTCTCACTTCTCAAGACGGCCACCGTCAATCACATAATCTCCGCTCTTTAATTGTGCTCTAATCTCTGGTCAAAGGCGCTCAAACCACTGTAGCCTAATGTTATCTATTAACTACGCACATCATAACGTTTTAGGCAAGTAGGCAACTATATTATGACATAAAATATTTTAAGACTGAATTTGTATTTAACCTGATCACGTTTAATATAAAAGACATTTTAAGTTTAAGTATAACACCGCATGTCCACGATTATTCAAACAACGAACAAATTATGCCAGCAAAGAATATTAATTATCAAAGAATATCACTGAATTCAGTCTAGCGAGTGTAAGCACTCTAAAAAAGATCTAAGCTATAATCAGTGATGTTGTCTGCAGCGTGTGATGAATTAATCTCTTACTTCCCATGTACATCTGCACTTTGTGGTTTCTGATGAGAGAATTCGCCAAAGTGCACGGACTAAAACTTTTGCATATCAGCGATTGTTAATATTTAGTAAAATTCCCTTAAAAAATATAAATATTAAAGAAAAAAATTCTTGAACTAAAATCACAAAAGCACAAATAGCCTATATATTGATTCGCATATAACGCTGTCTTCATTTGTATGTTAATCTATAAGAGTTTGGGCCTATCATGAGAAAGCATTGATGATTTTGTAGCCTATTCTGTGCAGTACATTTATTTAAATTTGAACGTTAAAAGTTCATATTGATCATGTTTTATTGTTAATATAAGTCATACACTCTCAGAATAAAAAGGTTGCATTTTATGCGTGCAACAGCCTATCAGTGGCAGTCCCTTATGAAAATTAACCATGGTTTTACTAAAGTGAACATTGTTTAACTATAGTATTTGTCGATTTCCATGGTTACCACTACAGTAAACATATTTTGCCCATGTGTAAACAAAAATATAACCTAGTAAGTTGCAATTAAGGCGTATTGAATGTTAAAATGTTTCAAATATAAAGTTAAGTGGGTATTATTACCCATTTTACTCTTAGTAATTTAAAATTTCAGTTTAGAAGTATCGTATTGGTATCGATATCGACGATACTGGCCATTAAAATTATCGGTATCACATCGAAAACAAAATAAGTGGTATCGCCCATCCCTAATACAAAGACGGTTCACTCCTATACTTATGAATGGGAGAAACTGCAACTCGCAATATGGCGGGATAGTCCATAATGAAAGAGCCAATCATTGATGAGTAAAGTCATTGCATTATAATGTCATTGCGTTATAAGCTCCGGTTCCCATAGAAACCTGAGGCCGGAGCAGCTGATGCGCATGTGCAGTCATAAGCCCAATATAACGGCGCATGCACATTGGCTGGTCTAGCCTGAAAAATAAGCTTTTAAAACTCTATTTGAGCATAAGAAACCACTTTAATGGGGCAGTTAATTTAAGATTTTGTTGCTGAATTGAAATATGTAATTTAATTGCGAGTTCAGCGAGCAGTTTTTGAGATTTCAGGATTTCCCCATTCATTTAGTTAGGACTTGGTCTTGTTTGAGCTGCCCGGAGGCGTTGCAAATATGGCGGCCGAGTGAACAGACTATCCTTGAAAGGGACTTTCCGTTCCTGCACTTAAATAATTTAAAATCAGATTAAAATGCTAATGCAGGAATCGTTAAGCAGAATCGAAATGCACGCATCTTATCGAATACCCAGTTCTTGGAAATTTGGAACCTGTTCTAAAATGGAACCGGTTTTCAATACCCAACCCTAAAATTCACTGGTAAATAACACGCACCTTAGTATCAATATTTTTTATTTGAGTATTGATACTTTCGATACTCGCATCAGTATCAATATGTCGATACGCCCACAGTGGTGTAGCGCAAATCCGTGGGGCCCCGCCGTGAACCGCAAGTCAGACCCCGGGGGGGGGTTACGTCGCAAAATTATAAATACTTGTTTTAAACCATGAAGGCGAACCAATAGATATATCACAAGCAACGTGCAAACTTTGCGCAAGAGTTATGCCGGTGAACGTCTTAATCTAAATCAATTTACCAGAAAGTGAAAGTAAAAACTGATGGAGCTTTCGCCATCTGACGATGCATGAACGGCGCATATTCTCTCAGCGACGACGAGACAAATCTTCATATGCTGATAACGATATATAACTATTTTAATTTACTCCCTTAATATTTCTCTTGTGGCCTGAAGATGGAGAGAGAGAGAGAGTAAAAAAAAAAAAAAACGGAACGTATTTCGTGTGAAAGTCTGTGCTTGAAGTAAAGCTGCTCTTAATTTTCATTGATGACTGCAGTGTAAATAATTTTAATTATAGGCCTATAATTCATATAATAAACCTGTTTTGAAAGACCTTTTTTAAAAGCATTTTCAACGGAGCTAATAGCCTAAACTTTTTTTTTTTTAGGCCATCCTTCAGTGCCGATCCTAGACTTCTGGGGGTCCTATGCAAAACTGTGTCGGCGGAGGCGGAGGGGGAGTGGTTATAAATGAATGAATGAAATGTTTCACTCCGTCTCGAATCGGGCTAGTGGAAAACGCTTGAGAAACAGTACGCTTTCAACCCGTTTTTTTTAGTCTCGAGCAAGACTACGACATTCACATTATATGATTTGACTGATTTTTACGTAGAAAGAGCGACAGCACACTGCATTAAAAAAAAAAGATCATTCATGTTTTTTTTATAACCGCTGGCCAAATTCAAAAACTAAACTAAAATTAAATAATCTTTGTGAGCAAGGGGGCCACCTGGTGTTTCGGGGGCCCTACGCAGCTTGCGTACAGGGAGGATCGGCTCTGCTATACTCGCAGCGCGTCAGTTTGATACGCATTGAAATTATTGCGGGGCAATAATTGTGATATTAATTTAATAATAAAAGTAACCGAACAATAGTCCTAATAATAAGAAGAATCTAACAGACCTACATTAATTGGAAATGCCAAATGCTCTTAATAATGCCAATATTTTATGCTTTTGACAATATCTCTGGCTATCATCGATACATGGTCATCATCTTTAGATGCACCCCAGCACGGGGAGGTTACCTACACGCCGATACACCACTGTACGCCCATCCCTAGCGCAAACACAGATTTGAATGTTCCGGTATGTCTATTCTAAAGGTTTAATAGACACGGGCGATTCATTGTCATTTAGAAATGAGATCGTGTGGGTGCTTGAATCGAGATGGCGATCTTTTAGCGATTAATGGTGCAGCTCTAGTGTGAATGTGCCGCAGGGTCCGGCAGCCTCACGGCGGCTCTGGAGACGGCTAGCAGCAGGAAGGCCACGGTCATCGGGAAGCCCAGCTGCTTCATGTTCGACTGCATCGCCAGCCAGTTCGGTCTGGACCCGGCGCGCTCGCTGATGATCGGAGACCGGCTGGAGACGGACGTTCTGTTCGGCAGCAACTGCGGCCTGACCACGGTGCTGACGCTGACGGGCGTCTCCACGCTGCAGGAGGCGCTCGCGTTCAGAGACAGCCAGGAGCCACAGCAGAAGCACTGCGCGCCCGATTACGTGATGGAGTCTGTGGCGGATTTCCTGCAGGCGCTGGAGGAGTGACCACTACACTGTTCCTCGACCGGACGCTCTGCTGACCACAGTATTCCACTTTAATATATGTGACCCTGGAGCACAAAACCAGTCATAAGGGTCAAGTTTTTGAAATTGAGATTTATACATCATCTGAAAGCTGAATAAATAAGCTTTCCATTGATGTATGGTTTGTTAGGATCGGACAATATTTGGTCGAGATACAACTATTTGAAAATCTGGAATCTGAGGAATCTGTCATGGAACATGATCTTTACTTAATATCCTAATGATTTTTGGCATGAAAGTAAAATCTATAATTTTGACCCATACAATGTATTGTTGGCTATTGCTACAAATATACCCCAGCGACTTAACACTGCTTTTGTGCTCCAGGGTCACATTTTTCTCCCATTTTATTTTTTCATTTTTATTTAATTCATTTTTCATTTTAAAGTTTATTTTTATTTTATTTGGTGTTATTTTATTGTTAAAGTATTTAAGAGGACTCAAAAAATGTTCATGAATTAATTTTTATATTTTCCAAATTTTTAAAGATATAAAATATTAAGAAAATAACGAATGAAAAAAATTAAATCCCCTTAAATATAATTACCTTTCAATAATAAAATAACACAAAATAAAAGAATCCCCTAAAAATACTTTTCAATAATACAAACAATTATAACAATAATAAAATAAAAAAACTAAAAACCCCTAAAATATAAATATTTTTCAATAATAAAAATAAAAAATACCCTAAAATACCTTTTTTAATAATGCAAACAAATTTTTTGTTTTATTATTGAAAAATAATTATATATTAGGGGATTTATTTAATTTAATACAATCCCCTTAAATTAAAATGTAATCAAATCAAATTTATTTATTAAATGTGATCGACTTCTACTTTAATATACTACTTAAATATATTTCTCCCCTTTTTTTTCATTTTAGAAAGGTAATAATATTTAAGGAGATTTGTTTTATTTCATTAATGATTTAATTTAATGTTTTTTGTATTATTTTATTATTGACATTTGAGGATTTCATTTTTTTCATGAATTATTTCATATTTTCGTAATTTAATAAAATATCAAATATGAATAAAATATTAAATTAATTGAAATTTAATTGAGAAGTGAAATGTAAATCCCCTTAAATGTAATTACCTTTCATAAATAAAACACAAAATAAATTTCAATAATGCAAACAAGTATTAAATATTTAATGTATTTTGTGTGATTTTATTTTTGAAAGGTGATTTATATTTTAATGGATTTTATTATTAAAAGGTAATAAAGTTTAGCTTCATGTCAGAGGAATCTTACAGTAAATGCAGCTCCTCAGATAAGACTCATTTATGCATCACATGCATTCAACAGATTAAAGAAGATGAACTTGAATATGAATATGACTTCCTTTCTTCCCTGCGCTGTCAAGCTGGTCTTTGAGAAGCAGTCGTGCATGAGATGAGCTCTGAGTCTGTGTGACTGCAGGAGGCGGATCGTAATGACACTCATCCTGATGCCCTTGTGTGAATATTCTGCTTCAACCTCTTTCGTGCTCCACAGAACAATAGAAGTCATCCGGGTTTGGAGGGAGAGTAAATGATGACAGAAATCTACTTAATATAAGGATTGAATATTTATCTCCCCTTTTACTTGATTTTTTATTTAATTACATTTTTTATTTAAGGGGATTTTATTTTATTTTTTTTCTGTATTTTTTATCAAATAAATGCAGCCTTGATGAGCAGAAGAGACTTCTTTAAAAAACATTATAAGTCTTACTGATCCCAAACTTTTGACCGGTAGTGTGTGTGTGTGTGTGTGTGTG